CTACCAGGATGATGAAGATGAAACATTTCTGGACATTTATGGTTTGATTTCTTTGTATGTATGGATCACTTGGTTTGTTACCAACATCTGGTGAAAATTTCATGTCATTAGCACCTCTAGTAATATATTTACTGAGAAAAATGGTGACGTGTTCAATACTTATTTCAACCGATGTACAGTAATATCAAACTTAAACCAAGTTATGAGTCATTTTAAAACCACGGATGAGAGTTTGTGTTTTTGTTTCCAGGTGAAAGGTCACCTGGACTACATGCGTCAGATGGACACCATCCTGGTGGCAGTAGGAATCCCCACCAAAGAAGTCCCCGGAGCATCCTTCGTCCTGCCTCGGTCTGTAAAAGTTACAGAGAGAACTGTGGACAGTCCCGACCAAACCACCGAGGAGCAACATGTGAGCGGGACAGAAAGCCCCGCTGAGACTCCCCCACATGAAGAGACAGAGACAGAGAACGCAGGTGATGGTTGGGACATCCCCGACATCTCAGATCTGCTGGACTCATTAGGTGAGACCGAGTCCGTCCCGAACGGTGCGGCTCTTATCAAAGAGGAGGACACCCCTGACAACGAAGCATCCTCAGAGTTTAATACGCAGCGTGGCGGCGCCGAGGACCCCGACGATGAACAGGTTTCTTGGAGCTGGAAYGACACGAACTGGACCGAAGAGCACCTGCACAAATAAAAGCATCCAAACTCGTGAAGGGTCTGCTCCAGAACCAGCTGCTTCTGTGTGAGCTCATCTTCTCAGAGTTATTTTCTGCAACAGAGAAGCGTCAACTTGAACCGAATATTAATTTCATTCTCAACACAATGACAAGCGGTGCGCTCATATGGCAGCTTTTAGGAAAAACAAAAACCTTTATCTTAGTATTTCAATGAAATTAGAAGTAATCTTGTAAGTATTTAATAATAATTATTTAGAGTTTTGTACATTTTGTAGTTTTCAAAATGATGATTTGCTCGTTTGTTTTCTACACCTACTGTGAAATCAAATCCCCCTGCTGTTTTTGTGTGTCTTGCGGGTTATTTGTGGAAATTATGAAAACAGTGACAATTCCATCCTTTTCTCTCATCCTGCTCATTTTTAATCTGTTAGCTTGGTTGCTATGGATATGATCACAACAGTTTGATTTCCATATGGCTGGAGGCAGTTCAGAAAATGTGTTGTTTTTGTGGCCTGTTTTACTGCTACACAAGAGAAATGTGAAACGGTTCAGTTGAACTGATACAGAATAGTAGCACTGATAACTGGAAACTATCTTTAATTTTACATTGATCAGCACCTGGACTCTTCTACTATAAAGCCATGCTGTTGTGATGAATGCGGCGTGTGGTTTAGCATCGTCTTGCTGAAATATGCAAGGTCTTCCCTGAAAAAGATGAGAAGAGTCTTTGGCTACTGCAGGTCTTAATGCTCAATTCTGATTTTTTTTAATCTGATCTTTTGGCACGAACGTTCACATTACATTTTAAATGCGACTTCCATCAGACTCCTGTGGGAACGCGCCACAGTGCTGATGATCCGATTTTTTTATGACAGTCTGAACCCGACAAATCCGATTTTTTCAAATCCGACCCAGACCGTTTCATTATGTGGTTCTAAATCGGATACATACCTGATGTTTTCAAAGCAACTGCAGTGTGAACGCTCGTGTCACATTCCATCTGACTTTTCATCAGGGAGGTGGGGGTGAAGGATCGAAAAGACACTAACCTCAAGTCATGCTGTTTAAATCTGTAGCGCCATGTGTTTACAGCTCCAAAACACAAGTCCAAATGCTTTGTCTATGTACTTGTAGCCTAATTTTCCATGTAGATAGTATGATAATAACACTCAGCCTCAGTTGCGAGCGTATCGATCCTAAGTTATTYAATTGACAGTTTATGTCTAGCTCATTGCTTCGTTCCAAAAATAAAATGCTTCACCGGAGCATCCGGTCAGAGGCAGGTTCAGATATAAACACTGAACTAAACAAGCATGTCAGATAATTATTTAATCGGCTCTGATTGAACAACTTCAGATTCGATGTGCTAAAAATAGCATCCATGCTAACTCTGTAAACAAACAAGCCGGCTGAACGAGACAAGTACCCCCCCCCCCGTTGCAGTCCACGGATCGGGGCGGGGTCAGACGTACAGTGCGCGTGGTGACAGCTTGTCGGAATATGAGGCTTGAAACATTGGGAAAGGTTAATTTTAGAGTTGAGGGCGGGGTCAGACATCTGACCCCGCCTATTATCCAACCCCGCCCCGTTCCGCGGTTTGCAGCTGGGGGTTACTCGAACTAGACGGAACATCTTTTGCGCATCACATCAGTGCCGTGAAGCGTTCACACAGGCGTCTGATGCAGGTGACATTTAAAATGTAATGTGAACTTTTACACCAAAAGACTGGATTTTTTTTTCAAGAAATCTGAATTGAGCATTAAGACCTGCAGTGTGAACGTACCCTGTGTTGTTCTTAAACCTGCACTGCAATGGTTACCTCCATAACTATTCAGTCCAGGGTGTCAACCTGATTGGGAAGAAGCAGAGGCAGCTCAATCCCAGCATGCTCGGCGTCCAGCAGGTTGACGGCGTCCGTGGCGGTGGCGGGGGGTTGCGTGGGTTCGAAGGCCAGAGGCGAGGGTGGGCTGCTGGCTATGTTGGGCTCTCCCGAATTTCGCAGGGAGATGGAGAGCGCAGGCGAGGGCCTCCTCGGCGAACGCGAGGAACAGCAGGGCAGGAGCTTTGCCAGAGCTCTCTTGAAGTCCCTCATGAACAGCGGGTAGATGATGGGGTTCATGGTGCTGTTGCAGTAACCCAGCCAGGTGATGGCATCAAAGAGCTCAAGAGGGACACAGTCGCACACTGCCTGAATGGGAACAGTGAAAAGTGTAGCAGGCAATAAATAAGGGATTAAAACATTATTACAGGTCAAATTTGATATGGTTCTTTACAAATGTTTGTATAACTCAATTACAAGAAAGTAAAAAATTCAAGAGAGGGCAAACAATTCCTAAAATACTGCCTATTTTCAGGCAGAAATTTGGGGATTGCTATCGGCTACCCAAAAAGTTTAGCTTCCTTAACTCAAACTCATAATCCCCTAACAAAAACTATAGCAATGCTAGTGCTAAAAGTGTAAAAATAAATAAATAAATACATTTTGCGAAAGTTAATGCTAAATAAGTACCAAAATTAGCAGACATATTAACAGCTAATTGCTAACCGCTAAGACAAGACAACTGACTAAACTGTTGATGATGTGATATCTGAGACTTTAGGGTTTCCACACAATTCTCGTGTCATTCTCTTATATAGTCGTTTTGTAACTGTGTTCTTTTATTTACAATAAAATTTTGTAAAAAAAAAAAGGGGTAAAAAATTTGGCAGAAGCTAATTGGTTCGCTAACAGTTTTCAAAGTTAGTAAAAAAAAAAAAACGCCTAATCCACTAAATAAAAAAATTATTCTGCTGTTAGCTATTTATTCTTTCTTTATTTTTTATTTAAAGTCACCATTAGTCTCTGCCAAGGCAGAGACTACTCTTCCTGGGGCCTAACACACAAAATAAAACACAACACAATCAATAAACAAACACATTTAAAATGAAAATATAAATAAATAAAAATTAAAAGCCAGTGCAAACATCATAACAAAAAACATCCATTTGAAAACCCCAAAATGTAAATCAACTTAAAACTCCTACAAAACACTAGACAAAAGGGAAAAAAACACACTAAACCGACAATAAATTAATCAAACAATACACAACATCACCACCTCAACATTATATCATTTCGAATAAGATAAGATAAACCTTTGTCATACAGAGCACAATAACTAATCCCGTAAAGCACCCTTAAATATACTATAACTGTAATACTTTTAAATCAAAAGACAAAATGTTCCAGTTATCAATGGTTACATAACTATTTAAGTGAATTAGTTTTAGGGTAAAATTCACAGCAGCAGATTGTCTTGTTGCAAAACCATGTCTGTTTGAAGTGGGCAACAACTGAGAAAATAAACTGATGGGTTTATGCAAAATCCAAATTTTATAGAAGAAATGTAGCACAAGCATGCCCACTCAGCCTGAGCACAAAAGGTCCATTAATTCAGTTAAAACTTCCAATAATATCTTGCATTTGATTGTTAGAAACATGGATCTTAAATGTGTCCTTAAGGTTTAAATAGCGGCAGTGAAGAAGGAGACAGCTGTTAGAGTACAGCTTCCAATACTTTCAAGATGAGACGGGGAGGCGGTGGGAATGGGATAGGAAAAAAAAAAGGGGGGGGGTTCACACACCACATTGAGTGTGAAAAGAAAAGGAGCGCATTGACAGCCAAGCCTCTGAGCTCTATGTTATGCAGAAGAAAAGCAAGAGGGCACAGATGGGATATCAGAATGACTTGATCTTCCAAAATCTTGAAAAACAGGGCAAGTGTCATTGACGATTTAAATTAAGCTGTTTTTTTTTTTTTTTTTTTTTGACAGTCATTTAGTCTGGCGGAGGCTCTTGTTACTTCCTGTGTCTTGGCTGAATAATATTCAGTCCAATCAAATCAAAATTAGCAATGTCAACAAYGTGGCAATTGTAAACTGTAGTTTTGTAGGTTGTCTGCTCTGCTAAGGAATGAGTCAGACATATGAAAGCTGAAATGCCAATTTATTTCCCTGTTGGCTTGGCAAGGCAGTGACGCCAAGGCTGGCCAGTACAAAAATAGAATGGTATCCAAGTGTTTTCTCTTGATCTTATTTTTTTAAATAGGCTCTTGGTTTTCTACACTTTTTCTTTGTCACAGAAATACATTTTTTTGAGAAAAAAAAAACACTGAATTATTTGAAGCAAAATGTTTTGAGATGGAGGGCAAAACAATCTGTGGGTGACATTTTACTAATGTAACACGAAAATACAAGATTTGCTTTTACTTCTTTCCTTGTACACTGACCACACAAAGTGTGCCATTCAAGTGCAGCTCCACTGACCTGAGCCATGTTGGTGATGAAAAAGGGCAGCCAAGCGCTGAAGAAAAGCCCCAGAAGAACTCCCAGAGTGAGGCTGGCCTTCAGTGCCCTCCGACCCTGTCTGTGTGCGAGACGCCGCTCACTGTTCACACAAGGCTACGGAGAGTAAAAACAATAGAAAAGGTGATTTAGTATGCTAGTGCTAGCAGTCGTGTAGTTTTGCTAAACTAGGGGGAGGTTTTTGCCTTTTTTTCCACTGCTTCATGTCTTTATGCTAAGCTAAGCTAATCTAGCCACTAATGTAACACAGTAATACAACATCACCGTAATGCACTTTGACTTGCTCAACCACTGTTTTATAGTTCTCTAAGAGTTATAAAAAAATAAAATTAAATCAAATAAATTTCCTTGTGGTGCTCTGTAAAATGTTAACTCACTTGTGCATCTTAATTGTGCACCAATTAAGTGCATCTTAATTGGTTTTAATAGGTGTATTTTTTTTTTGGATAAATTTTTGCATTTTTTTGTCCCCCTTTGAGTCTTAAGCCAGCGTATGCTAAGCTAGACTAAGCTAAGCTAACTTCTTTTGAAACMGTATGCTAAAATTTAAATTACAAATCTTGTGTACATTATGCTTTTATTTAACAGTAAAAAAGTTTATTTCGGTGTTATTTTTTTTATTACTATTCTTTAGTGGTATACACTTGAGCCATAAAATATTTTGATAAAACAGGTTATTGTTTAAAGAAACCTTAGCAAAGCAAAGTTAAAACTGATTTAGCAACACTTGTTTAGTTGTGGCTTATATGGACATCACCAAATTGTAATATAAACTGGGTGACATCAATCCTCACAGATGGGAATATTATACATTTTACACATTTTCTTGCAATTGAGCTAAACCGAATGAGCATCGGATTCTTTTTTTAGGTTGAGGGTAATCATTTTCTAAACTCATAAAAAGAAGTATGTAATGTTTTTTTTTCTACTCAGCCTTGCAGAAATCCACTCAAAGGTTGAGCTCAGGTTTATTTCTGAATGTCCTCTCCTCTCCTACATTTAATTAGCAGCCTTTTGCAGAAACCCGAGTTCTTTGTGTTGTAAGCAGAGTTTCTAAGATGCAGAGTGTTTTTTAAAACTTACTGGGAAAAAATATATTTTTAAATGGTCAATAGATACTTTCAAGGCCGAATTTTGTGCTTGCGTAGTTTGAAGGAAAACAACTTTTTGGTAATAACGTCTTTTCTTTTTTTTTAGAAAATGGCATGAGACATGAAAGGTTTGTGTGAAAAGTGTTAGGTGTTGTCTTAAAATGTCAAGGAATAGACACTTTAGATAGAAAGCTTTGTGTCCTCTCAGGCTTAACTCCTACTCCTGCTAGTTAAAGGTCAAGGTGCCTTTTCAGCATCTCTGCTGAGTTTCAACAGGCATATAAGAAAATGTCTCGTCTATAATAATAAAAAACTTTGCTCAGTGGTCGACACAATGTCACCGTGGCTGGTTGACTTTTCTTACCGGTTCGTTTTGTGACACAGGAGGCCCTTGATGACGGCAGTCGTATCCATCCTGTTGAGCTTGCCTTACACCAGACGTAGGTGAAGGAGGCCGGGAAGGTTCTTCGAGGGAGGGATGCGGATGAGGAGGRTGACTCAGTGCTGCAACTCTTTTTGCCTGTCTCCTTGCAGCCAGGAGGATCCGACAGTAGGTAAAGCAAATGGCACTGGATGGCAAAAAGAAGGTAAGCACAGACGCCACCAGAGCAAAGGGCAGGGTGACCTGCAGGCGGCACTGAAATGACACGCCTCCTGATGGCGAAAGCTGAAAGTAGGACTCTGGGTAGAGTTTGTCAGAAATAGAGATGTTACTAACACCGGCTTCAGGAATCGGTAGATATTCCTTCCCGTGGCCTAAAATATGCCATTTCATCTCRATGGGCAGGAAGGAAGCCAATGCAGCCAAGCCCCAAGCAGCCCCCACCAGGAGAAGAGCGCGAGGCGGGGTCATCCTCTGCTTGTAGCTCAGCGGCGAGATGATGAAGAGGTAGCGGTCCAGGCTGATCACGCACAGATTGAGGATGGACGCGCTGCAGCACATGACGTCGAAGCAAAGCCAAACGGGGCAGAAAGCGGGCCACAGCACCCAGGCCCCGCACAGCACGTTGAGCATGGCGGGGGGCATGACCACCAGGGCCACCATCAGATCRGAGAAGAACAGGGAAACCAGGAAGCAGTTTGAGGTGCAGCGCAAAGAGCGGTGGGCGAACACCAAGGCGATGAGCAATACRTTGCCACAGATCGTCACCAGGATGATGACGGTCAGCATAAAGGCCAACAGCCACGGGCCGCTGCCGGCGACGTTCCAGTCGCTGGTGGTGGGAGAGCTGCCGTTGGAGCTTCCCACTGAGCCAGACAAGTGAGAGTCAGCCATGGTGCCGGCTGGCGGTAATCAACGAAATCTGTTTCACTCAGTGGTTCCTCTATCCTGCAAAAGATTACACTCAAGAGATGTCAGATAAAAATAAYAACTGACGAGATCCCCATCCGACCAAGTCCAGCTTTCTCCACGGGTACACGTCTCCATATYGGCAGGAATCCCTTCCAAGCAGAGTGGGCTCACGTTCTGTGCCAAAGATCACCAAAACTGTTTTCTCTCATCTCTCCGTTTCTGGCCAGCATGCCTCTGCCTCACACACGGCTAAGAGCCCCAGAATGAGTCGTTCGTTAGCAGAGAGCTTTTAAGCAGCATGATGACARGCGCTGGAGGAGGGCACAAAGAGAAACAAAGTCTTTACAACAYGTACACAAGCTGTGCCACTGAGATGACCCGCTGAGGATGGAAAGAAATTCTCAGAAAACCTACCTCACGTCAGTGGATTTSATCTTTTGCAAGTCCTTTGTTGAGCTGGAGCTCTTCACTTCATACACAAGTGCTTTTTATTCTGGGATTTGGTGAAGAGGAGCAAAAAAAAAAAGACTTAAAAAATAAAACTCATTAGCAAGCCGGGCTCTGTTCAGAAGTGCTTTATGGGTATCATGGTCCTCATGATGCCACATCCGCTGGATGCTGTTAATCCCTGTGGCAGCCACTCCAGCGTGTCTCCCAGCCGGAGCGCACAGATACTGAGAAAGAGCGTGTCAAAGCGTTGGGCTGTTAATGCATAACCATGCACAATCACAGCCAGGATATGCTAATTCTGCATCATAGGAACTGTGTGGGTGGTCTTTCTCCTTGTTTGGTTGTGGTGTTTTTATCCACTTTTGTTGTGACCGTTAATATTTTTGTTACGATTTGTGAAAGTCTGATGGCTTTGTTTGTTCAACAACAAATTTAAATTTGATGAAGCATTTTCAAACAAAAGATATTTGTATGCAGATATACCTGCAAGAGCATTTTTTATTCAATATGATAGTTTTTGACAACTATATTTCATTTCTACAATGATTTTTTTTTAATTTCTACAACAATTAGGGCCACACAAGTTTTTTTTTATTATGAGAATAAAGTCATAATATTATGACATTAAAGTTGTACGTAAATAAAGTAATAATATTACGAGATTAAAGTCATAGTATTGTAAGAAAGTAAAATTAAAGTCATAATACTATAAAAGCATGCAGTTACCACTGCATTAAAATGAGGAATGTTGAGCAATTTGTTATGTTGTTCTTTAATATTGCTTAAAATAAATAGTTACGGTAATCTTTAAGCACATTAGCATCAAATTATCACTAGCAGGACTTAGAAATTGTGCAAATGACTATAAGATAAATGGACGCATGCATTGACAAATTTAGTTGTCATGTAGCTAATTTGGGTAAAAGCATATTAATCTAACAGTTACCCCGAGTCATTGCGGACTACTTTATAAAAACAGACACATGGCCACAGAAGGTGTGGGGAAAACAAGGAGGAAATGAGGAATGGAAAATAGACATGTCATGTAAGATTATGACTTTTTTCATAATATTATGACTTTTTTCTCATATTATTACAGCTTTAATCTCGTAAATTATGACTTTTCATATAAATAATGAAAACAATCTTGTTATGTGGCCCTAATATTTGGTCGTACTTTTCAGATCACATCTCAGTTCTTAAATGTTTTGATGATTTTGACTGTTTTCTTGAATTCAAAGGATTTTATTAGAACGTTCTGATGCATGTAATCCAGGTCCTCTGAAAGGGTTCTTCTTTTTCTTTTATCCAAAGGACTTCTTCAGTACGAGATGTTGATGGTTCTCCTTCTGCATGTGGACATCCAGTTTTGGGCGCCAATGACAAACTGTTGGATCCACTTTGTGAAGGTGCTGCTTATAAATAAGAGTTTGACTGAATACGTTTCTACAAAGAAGAACCCTTTTAGATTATACTGGTGCAAATATTTGGACAGTTTTTGCTGCCTTCCAAACACAATAACATTTCTTTAACAACATAACTTAAACTAGCATCTTTGCAGTAATTAGCTGAAAGGGTTTGGTTCCAAATAAGCCATGGTTTCTGCAYGGAGTTCCCACGTTTTGTGAGAGTTTTTCTCTGGATGTGCCTCCCACGGGCCAAGACAAGCCTGGTATTGTTTTGGAGGTTTTTTTTAGAAACATTCTGTGACTTCTAACCATCGCCTTGATGCTTTAGCAATGTATTTCACATATATTCCCTTATTTTCCCTCTCATCAGTGTCAAGAAAACCCTGCTACTTATGTAACGCAATAAAATGTGAATATGTTAGGGGACAATATAAATATATTGTTAGACAGCAGAGACACGTGGGTGACAACTACTGTAGSTCTGCTGCAATTAGCAAGTAATTGTGTGAACATCTTCTTTTTTAATTTCCAAATGATTGTGGACATGATTGCATCTTTATCTTCATCTTCTTGTACCCGAAGTCAGTGAAACTCTAATTCATATCTTCATGTTGTTTTTCATCATACAGAACATTAGTTTACTGTAGTGAACTTGCCAAATTTGTGTAAAAGGAATATAAAAACCACTTATTTATGATAGTTATACTTTTAAAAGACAGTGTGAATATTTTGTTATAAAACTTTTTTGTATACTAATACTTGCATAAAAATAAAATGAGACAAAGATATGGGTAATTGTTCACCATTAGCTCAAATAACAGGTAATGACTTGGATGCTTCCTAAATATTTTCTTCATTCAGTAGTCACCGTATTTCGCTTTTCAATGATTTTTAAAGCAAACACTAAGATTGTATATAAGGCTTTTTTTAATTTAAAAAAATAAACATGCTGAAGAATTTACTGAATTACAGTGCAAGCATTGTACCAGAGAACAAAGGAATGACCCTGWTCCCTGGTACAATGCCTGCTCTGTCATTCAGTATATTTTTCATTTGTTTCAAAAGATGTTTGAAGARGGAGCCAAGCATCTTTCAACCCCGGGACAACGTAGGTACTATACCGGGGAACATAAGTACCTGGGAACAAATTAGGTACTGGGGAGCAYAAGGAGAGGGGGTCCCAATGGGAACCAGAGGTATAATAAAGTRCTTAAAAKAAATAACTAAGACCTTAAAGYGTTTGTGACATSAAATTTTTGTAATAAATGTGAATTCGTTTTTGGAAAGAGAACATTGATAACATATTGCAAAATAAATCGTACGCCCTTGAGATGAACAGTTGTTGAGATATTTGCATGTGAAGAAACAGGAAGKGATGTCAAAGGGAAATGTCTGCRTGTAAACAGTGATGCTACAGTAATTAGAGAAAAATCTGATGTTTCTTTAGATTATTTTGAGTCACTATCAGAGTTGAAGAAGAGTTTAAATCATATTGCTTTAATAAAYAAAGACTAGAGTTTATTTTCTTAGAGTTCCCCTTTGATGTCACTTCCTATTTCACTTTGCTGAGCCAATTCCAAGAAAAAATATGACAGCTATGAGACAAAATGGGTAAAATCATATGTATTATGCTAATTTTCTTAAATATTAATGTTTACTTTGAGTTTTTGTACTTGAAGGATAAGCATGTCACAGGCCCTTTGCCATGACTGAGTGTGTGACTGACTATATAAACTTCTGTGTGGACAACACCATCCCCAGCAGAA